CAATAGAAGCACGTTAAGTCTCCATCAGCATAACGTCTCCATATTAACTAACCGCGTTAAATCTAACTGTGCACGTCACTGAAGAGGTGTTTACTGCAACTAGCTGCTCCAAACATTAGCATGCTAACGCACATAGCGGTGCAGCAAGGAAAAATGTCCCCCAGGAAACAACAGTTCACTGGCTGCCGCAACGAAACATTCTGCTATTTAAACCGGAATGTCTGGTATTCAAAAAATTCATATCATAACAAAAATAAAAACCGGTATTCGGTACAAAACGGTATTACCGCCCAGCACTATCTCGGAGATCTACAAAAAAAGTCATTTTTAGCAGCGCCAGCTGTGGAATTAAAGGAGCTGCTTTAAAGCCGAGGAATGAAATGACTGCTGTTAATGTCGTGTCTCCCGTGGGTCGTTCAGTCAGAGAAATATAAATCTAAATCATATTTATCTCTCTCTGTAGTCCTGCTCCAGTTGTTCTTTGGTCAAATATTTTTATTATCTGTGTAAACAACTGTGTTACATAATTTTTATATATTCAGAGGAAGAGCGGTCATGCACCGCTATGCTCCCCACCACCCGCCTGGCCGTCTCCCCCCTCCCGGCCGTCGCAAGTGTCAGATGCGGTTCTGAAAAGACGCATTTTAAAATGTCTCCAAACTTCAATCAATGCATAATTTGTTGTTGTTTTAGTTTGAGCTATTCCTATTAATATTGTAGTGCTGTACAACAGCATTAAAAGCCAATTTAATTTAATCTAACCAATTTATGTTGTTAAAATCTAATTCCAGTTCAAACAGAATAAGCTATTGTCAACATTATTATGGAGTGTGATGTATTTTCAACTCGATATATCTTCAAACTAATGAAATATGAAGTTATTAGTGAGAAAAATCCATCTAGATAACAGCAGACTACTCGTAAAATATAAGACAGGTCTGGACCACTCGTGAATTTTGTTCGTATCTGAAGAAAATCTTAGAATATGAAAAAATTGGTGAATGCCAAAAATTCTCCTAAATCACTCGTACGCACAACTTAAGAACAAATCTGTGCGTACGAACGGTTCTTGCATGAGGCCCATTGAGTCAACTCAATTTAAGATGTCCACTGAAGCCAAAYGACATAATCTATAATCTATTTATCCCAAACTTAACTGTGCCMTTTTCTATAAATACAATGACAAATCCTTTGACTACTCCTAAAAAAATTGCATTGTTTGTGTTGTCAAACTAAGAATGAAGCAGTTTTCTTGCATGTCTGAACAACGCTCCAACTAAGCTAAACACAGGAACAGCTCATCAGCCTGTCAGAGGATTGGACTGAGCAGTGGGAACATAGTGGGGGAAATCAATGACAATCATTCTGCAACGATTTGCCTGCAGCACTGGTATAATGATACTGGAACTGCTGTGTATCTTTGGGTAAATCCTCCACATGACAGGTTAGCACTAATTACACTCTGCAATACTGTGTTGAGATTCTGTAAAACTGGTTCAGCCAACACCTTCAACACTATTTGTGATGACAGGTAAACAACAATTAAAAATATAATATTATAAAAAACTTGTCCTATAATTTCTGTTCGCCACTCTTGTTTGTTTGTTGTTTTTTAATGACAAAGGTTGCTAAAAATGGATATTAAAAAATTTATATTTTGTGGAGGTATATTGTTTGATTTTAATTAAGCTGAAATAAGGAAAAAACTCTAAAGGCAGTAAGGGGAGATGGAGGTCATGTCGGATAAATGCAATGTTTAAAGGGTAAATGAAATCAAATCTAAAATCAAAAGTTCTTTTTTCTACTGAAGTGATTAAAAAACAAAAAATATCAAATCTTATACTCAAAAGCCTTCGTGTGTTACTTTTTGGTTAAATATTTAAAAGGAACATACAGTGGTTCATTTGTCTGATTAAAACTTGAATTTTGCTTGTTTTCCATTTTGGTGTAAAAAAAATAATCACAGTGAATTCATTCAAGGCTCCACTTGACAGATCAATTAATTACAGTGAATAAAGAAATGGTAGAGTAAAACTAACACTGTTTCTAAAAGACCAGGGCTATTCAACTATATTGCTCCGAGGGCCACAGTTACWGCCGGTCAACAGCTGAGGGGCCGAACATCCAGCAATTAAAGTTATTATGTAAATAAACCAAGTTTTACAAAGATCTGTTACCTTTGAATTTGTTTATTTTGTTGCATTTAATCATGAATACAACATACAGAACCCTATAAAAGTAGTGATAAATTACACATTATCAAAAACAAAAAGAACACATTATGCCTCCTATTTGACACAAATAATATTTTGACATCTCTGATTACCAAATTTTTAAAACACTTTTATTTTCACTTTCATCATTTTATCTTCAACTGCTTGTAGTTTTAACTGTCTTGAGTGTTAATAGAAATGGTTTTTACCAGCTTCTAGCCAGGATTCTGATGTTTCTGTAGATACCAAACATGTCTGTTTAACCAAAAGAACTTAGAGTAATTAAAGTAGAAAACCGGGGATTTGGGCATAAGAGATGAATGAACCAATTGGCGGGCCGAACTTTGGTCACTCGCCGGCCGGATGTGGCCCGCGGGCCGCCAGTTGAATAGCCCTGTTATAGACTGTGCAGTTTTGTTGTTTTAAGTTACTCTACACGAAATAAGACAATTAGCACCTTTATTGAAATGACTAAAGCACAGATTAAAATAAGCACTGAAGTAGCGATTGAATTTACGGCATATCGCTGTTAATTTTAAACAGAGTAAAGAAAACATCATCAGGTGATGATACATTAAGATGCACTTACGTAAATAAAGAAAAATGTACATATTGTTTTCAACAATTCGGCGCCGTTTAAAGAAATTTTARTAAAGACGATAAAATATTGGTTTGAAAGTCTTGGCTTAACAATCCACATCAAGGTCAACAAAGCGGTTACCAACTTGTTTTCTTCACCAACACACCGTTTGCCGGACTCACCTGAGGGTTGTATGCAACCGCGGGAGAAGATCCCGTCAATTTCTGAGTAAAACCGCTTAATTTATAGTACATTTTCCTGCTGAAGGACAGAGAAATGTGTTACGGCCACAACAAATCGACCGGTAAGGGCCTTCCGATGTYCGTCACAGGAAATCAACGTAATAGACAGCTGCCCCAAAGATGCCTGACTAAAAATCAAATGCACTGCAGCAGCTACCATAGTAAAGACTTTTAAAGCCTTTATGTCTATGGCAGCTACTGTCAAACACAACAACAACAACAACAACAACAACAACAACAACAACAACAACAACAACAACAATAATAATAATAATAATAATAATAATAATAATAATA